GTGTGTGTGTGTGTGTGTGGGAGAGTGTGTGTGCGGGTGTGTGTGTGTGTGTGTGTATGGGAGAGTGTGTGTGCGGGTGAGCGTGTGTATGTGTGTGTGTGTGTGTGAGTGTGAGAGTGTGTGTGTGTGTGTGTGTGTGAGTGTGTGTGTGAGAGAGAGAGTGTGTGAGAGTGTGTGTGTTGGATGGCTGTGGGAGTGGCTGACTGAAGATCTGGCTCTTTGTGAACGCAAACAGCGCATTATGATAGAGATCAACGCAGTGTTGGACAGAAACGAAGCACATTTACTCGAGTCTTGTACTTAAGTACACTGTTTGAGTATCTGTAGGCTATACTTTACTTGACTATTATTTTTCTGGAAACTGATGACTTTAACTTCAATACATTTGAAAGACAAATATTGTACTTTTCACTCCACTACATTTCTATCAAGGTCCTCGAAGTAGAAAGTCATGTAGCAGCTCTGAAAGTCAGCGGGGGATTGTTTCTTCTGTAAAACCTGACTGTTTTCTGTCAGCATATCAGTAATCACTCTTGTAGGGTTACCTGAAGTGATTTCCCAGCATCTTTTTAACACTGACCAGTTGCAAATGTGATATTTATTTACAACAGTTCAATAATAAGGAGTTAATATTGTGGTATACAACATTGTCTGATTTTGCTAAATTGTGTAAATGAAAATATTATCTATAAAGCCACAGAAGAACTGTTGTGCGTCTCCTAACAAAACACAATATGTGTTTGACTGAAGCACTGCAGACCGTAGTACCCCGAGAGCGATGATGGCAAATACATCTGGCTGCTCTGCTTCTTTTGTTAAAGCAGTGTTGCTGCTGTAAAGTTATACAGCTACAGTTGTGTTGCTGGGTTTTAAAGCAGGTTTGATTTTATTTCTGTATCAGTCTGTATTTACAGCGATTTCACTGTTCACTGGGTTTAGAATGTGGATGAATGGCTGCATGTAGATGTGTGAGATCACCACCATGCTGCTTTTGTGGGGGTGTTAAAAAATAGTTAAAAAAAAAAAAAAAAATGTATGTCAAATTACTTGTTTCATCTCTATAGGTTTTAAACATTCTAAAAGCTCTTTATTTCAAAGATATACTACAAGCTAGTCAGTGTATTCAGTAGGTGTAGTGTATTCTAAGTTGCTTCAGAGGCATAAGGTATTATAACCGGGACTAAACGTCAAGAAAGATTTATTGCTTTGATCTTTTGACCTTACCCCTCCCCCCACGCAGCCCACCCACGTCACGTCGTGCTGACCCTGTGACCTCCTGTGAGGAAATATGATGTTTGTACAACTCTGTCCAATATTAAAGTCCTGAGGAATGTTTTTGAATGTTTAATGCACATTTTGAACTCCCACATCTGGGGCCCATCTGCCGTCCACATGCTCAGGAATCCGATAGCATTTTTGGTCTCTCTCTCTCTCTCTCTCTCTCACACACATCCCAACACACACACACACAGGTCCTGCGTCCGAAATGGCATACTTCCCTACTATATAGTAGGCAAAAAGCAGTAGGCGAGCAAATAAGTATGTTTGAATCCTCACTATTCATATGAGTAGGTGAAAATTGCACTAATTCTCACTAGATTTGGACGTATACATACTTAAGTTGCATCCGAATATGCATACTTACCTACTAGATAGTAGGAGGAAAGAGTACGTGAAGAAAGAAGTACATTCGAAACCGCAGTATTCCTAAAAGAGTAGGCGAGAAATCCCCGAATGTCCTACTGCTTCAGTCCAGACTCTGAAGTGCTCATCGATGGATACTCTTCTATCCCAGAAGCCCACGAGAGAGGATCCGAGAGGAGAACAGAGACGAGGGTGTTTACAAATGTGAGTATTACACATCAGAAACACGGTTCCCTGTGTTAAAATCATATTTGTTAAGCTACTGTAAACTGTTCAGTTACTGAAGGTGTAAGATGCTAGACAGTATATTTGTGATTTTGCTGTAAAAACATGTTTTATTATGTATAGCGAACAGCAGAGCTCCAGTAAGCACACGCACGTCTCCAAAGTGCATTTACAGAAACCTTGTACATCTTAAAGATGATTGAATGCCTATTTAATATCTGACAGGAAAATGTTCAAACAGAATTGCAGATGAGCGCATCACAACATGAACAGACATCTGAGCGAGTGATGTATGTGTGCTATTATAGTAGATTTCACTGTCAACACTGCTTTAGAGGAATGTAAGTAATCTTAATAAACAAATCCATCCATCCATCTATCTCTCTGTCTATCGATCTCTATTTCTATCTCTATATCTATATCTATATATATATCTACATCCATCCATCATCTATCTCTATCCATCTATCTACAGTATATATATATATATATATTAAGATACCAGAATTTACATTTAAAGGTTTTACAGATGCATGATGATATAGGTAAAATATATTGTGAAAAAGTGTATGAAGTTATTTAATAAGCTTTGTCAGATCACCCGTGTTTCATATCTC